CGTCCCCATCGGTTATCGGTTCGTCGAGCGATGTGGCCTGCCCACTGCCACTTCAGCTTACAAACTTTGCGAGCTATGTCGGTCACTCTAGTTCTTTGGCGAATATCCACGTTTCGGATCCTATCGCGCAAAGAAACCCCTAACATAGCTCTCTCCATGCCTCGCTGAGCGACTCTGAGCTTCTCTAAGAGGCCAGCAGTTAAGGACCACGTTTCAGTGCCATAGGTCATCACTGGCAACACACAGTGGTTATACACCTTCGTCTTTAGGCACTGTGGTAATTTGGACGTGAAGCTATCGCGTAGCTTCCCGAACGCTGCCCAGCCGAGTTGGATTCTTCGAGCGACCTCTTTGTCGAAATTGGATCTACCTAACTGGATTGTCTGTCCAAGGTACACGTAGTGATCGACAACTTCGAGAGTATCATTTCCAATGACCACCGGTACGGGTGCAACATGGACATTCGACATGATTTTCGTCTTGTTCATGTTCATTTTAAGACCCACCTGTTTGGAAACGATACTCAGGTCGCTGAGCATTGTACTGATGTGCTCCATCGATCTTGCCAAGATGACTATATCATCGGCGAAACGAAGGTGAGTGATGTATTCGCCATTGATGTTGATGCCGTATTCGTCCCATTCCAAGAGCTTGAAGACGTCCTCCAATGCATTCGTGAACAGTTTCGGAGAAATGACATCTCCCTGTCTCACGCCTCTGCGCAATTGGATTGGTTTCGTGCTCTCTTCCTGGTAGCGAATCGACATTGTGGCATTGCTATACAAACGCTTCAACACTTCGACGTACCTGTAGTCGATTTGGCATCGCTGGAGGGACTGCAGTACTGCCCAGGTTTCGAGGCAAAAGTTCAGTAGTGATTCCGTCATCCCCCGGTGCCTTGTTGTTCTTGAGCTGTTTGAGTGCCATTCTAATCGCGTACAGGCTGATGTCTGGGATATCCTCGGTGTGATGTCGGGTCAGCTTTGCTCTGGTGTCCTGAGCATTGCTTCCAACGGGTTGTTGTGATGATGTGTACAACTGTCCATAAAACCTCTCAAGCTCAATCAGAATCTCCGGTTTTGAAGATACGAGCCTGCCGTCGTCGATCTTCAGCTTCGTCATCTGACTCGACCCAGCAGACAAATTTCGTGCAAACACTTTGGAGCCTTGGTTCCGCTCTATTGCCTCCCTAATACGTGTAGTATTATAGGAGCGCAGATCGCGTCGCATCGATTTGGAAATTCGTCTGTTAAGTCGACCATATTCCGACATATCGGTTGAAGATTGCAGTCTCATATCTCTCCGGTCCGCCATCAACTTGTGCGTTTCGTCTGAGAGCTTTTGAGATTTAATACGGCGCGGGGCCTTATAGAACTTAGACCCCACAGCTTAGACTGTTTCTACAAACCCGTTGTTTATTTCGTCCACAGACTCGCATTCAGCTAGACACTGAAAGCGATTGTGTAGTTGGAGTTGGAAGGCTTCGGGGTCCACGATATGAGCAGCACTAGGACGGAGCGTAGAATTCATCAGACGTGATCTTTCGAGCTTAACATTGATATTCAATGCGCCTCTAACGATTCGGTGATCGCTACCGGTTTTCGCCCTGCTGATCACGGAGACATCATTCAATATGTGCTTTCTGGTTGTCATGATGAAGTCGATCTCATTTTTTGTCGAACCATCAGGGCTCATCCAGGTCCACTTCCTGGAGGGTCTCTTCTGGAAGAAAGAGTTCATCGCAAAGAGTCCCTCCTTCTCCATGAAATCGACCAGCTTCTGGCCCCGGTGGTTGCGCCGCCCATACCCAAATCGACCCACCCTCAACTCATCGCCGTTCGAAGCGCCCAGCTTCACGTTAAAATCCCCCATTACAACGGTGAAGTAGGTATTAGTCGTATGTATGGCTTCAGAAATCTCCTCATGCATAGCCTCTACCTCATCGTCGGAGTGTGAAGAGGTCGGGGCGTAAACCTGTATGACCTTCAGCGAATACCTTTCGGTAATTCTGAGTATAAGGTACGCCACTCTGCTTGACACACTATCGATCTTCACCACGTTATTCACGAGGGACTTGTGGACGAGAAACCCAACACCACCTTGAGATTTTTGATCTCCTTCCCGGAAGAAGAGCATGTTACCGGACTCAAGGATTACCGCATCCTGGCCCTCTCTTCGGATTTCGGATAATCCCACTATGTCCCATCGCAACTTGCTCAATTCTTCCTCCAGCTTTAATAACTTCACGTCAGTCCTCAGTGTGCGGACATTGTATGTTGCCAGGGCCAGAGTCCGTTTGTGTTGGTAGCGCCGAATCTGCCGGGGATTCTTAGCACCCCCTGCCCCTCCGTTACCTGTCCCGCTACCAGAGACAGGAATAGAGGGGCTGCCGGGGACTGGGGGCCATAGATCATTGTCGTCCATCATGAGGGGGGGGGGTTGCCATAATCCCCACGCTTGGCAGGCGACTTGGGGATCGCAGTAGGTGGTGGTAGGTGATACCGGGAGGCGCTGCTGCCCGGGAGGATATGGTCGCTTATGCACGGACATCTGTAAGTTTTGCTATAGGATCAGCACAGTGCTATTCTGTAATACAATCATCATTGAGTTAGACAGCACTGTCACAGTCACAGCATAGACGTTCCATGAAATAAAACCTACTTCTAATGATAATAAAGGTTTTATTTTATTGAAGCTTTATACTGATGTACAGACGAATTGTTGAGTGTGACCTGTGTAGCGGTTGAAACCTATTTCATGCACTAGCTACTTCATAGTAAAAATTATATACTAAACTTTATGATTTTTCAATATAAGTTTAGTACTGATAAACAATAATGTTGATCTCTCTAAATATCAAAATTTATTGCAGTAGAGCGCTCAATAGGGATGATGACTAATTTTTGTTTCTTTGTCCGTCAGGTAGAGTGTTAAAAAATATTAAACACCTATTTTTTTATTTTTTTCGTAATCATAAAATTACGGCTTTACATTGAGTTGAAATTTCGCATGACGTCACGTTAGAGTACGTTTTCTACTCAACTGTGACGTCCTCCTCAACTTTAATGCCTGTTATCTAAGCTATTTCTTGTTAAATTGAAGTAAAAAAAAATATGTATCTAATATTTTTCTATTATCTGACTAACGGACTAAATAGAATTGCATTTTTTTTACCCAGTCATCATCCCTATTAAGCGTTTTAAACAAAGTTTATCATTTAATATAACTCGAAACATTTTATTAAGTAAACTATCCAAACTAACACTGGTTTTAAACATAAGGTTATTTATACAAAGGTTATTTATTATATCTGTGACGTTTCAATGGAGAAATTACGAAGTAACCGCCCGCGGCTACGCAGCGAGCTACTCACTCATGCTCACGTGCATGGTTACTATTATGAGATAAAGGCAACTAACTCACATATTCATATAACACGATAACATTACCAAACTATTATTATTTACAATCACAAATTTCTCTAAGCACGTCGTACTCTTTAAGTACCCTTATGAAGTCAAATTGTCTGCAGTAAACAAAAAGTATTCAGCATTCTTACCATCCTATTTCATTTATTTCACAGAAGGACTTTTTTTTCATTAATAAAAAAAAGGTGAGAAATAACACTCAAAATAAAATATATAATAAAAGTGAAAAAGCGAAGGCGACTTCATTATTCAAGAAACTGCTATGGAAGTCGGGCGTTTATCCTATAACCTATAGAAAACATACGCCTGACTTCAATAGCACTTTCTTGAATAATAATGAATAATTAAAATTTCAAGACGATTCTATGAATATCTATTTTATGAAAAGAAAATTATTTCGCCATTTTATGTGATATTCTAAATGAAAATGCTTAAAATCCACTTTGCCGAGGTACTCTGAGATGGAACTCCAACCTTTGTTCCTCCACCTTTCGCAATCCCGGTGACTGCTCTAACCACTGAGCTACCCAGTACCTAAAAGAATTGACGAACGACGCTACTACAGAGCGTATTTTCATCAATGTTCAGACAATCGGCCCAAACATCAGAAAGAAATATTTTTACAAATATTTTAACTCGAATAAGATGAAAATGTGTTTTAATTATCATATTTCATCAATTTTGCATTAACAATGCGATAGTGAAAAATATTCTTAGTTAAAAATCAACTTTTTCCTGGCATTCTGGTATGGGAGTCGAACCACCACCCGAGCGACTGCTCTAACCATTTTTCATTCAGAATATTTTCCAATATTGCATTATGCATGAAAAATTGATAAAAAATAACGATTTTTAGTGATATTTCTTTTTTTTGTTCAACATAGAATTTGCTCCATATGGAATTTGAATGAATGCAAAATACGCTTTATTTTTTTCTCGCTGATGTCATGTCATTTAAATGTTTTGGTGTTATTTGTCGAAAGGCATATTTTGTTTTGTTCTGAAAACAAAACTAACAATTCGATTACAATAAAATTTATATGAGACCACATCGGGTCCATAAGGTATTATTATTATTATTCCATATTTAATGGAAATCATTAAAATCGTTCCATAAACGACGAAGTTTTCCGTGAACAAACATAAAAGAAGGATGTATACAATGGAATTGAGAAATCTCCTTCTTTTCTGAAGTCGGTTTAAATTAACTAATAATGTAGTAAATTGTAGTAGTTAGTAGTTTTCAATTACCATCCCTCTAAGAATAAGTTAAGTAGACATCTACCGCTTTTGACTATAATTTAATATTAAAAATTCAATGGTTATCTCGTACAATCAAATAATATATATTTCTATCCCAAAATTAACACAAATGTTCCTTGTTGTTGAGTATGTTACTCAAATATTTTCAATTTGTTGTTAATGATGCGTACGAATTGTACAACGGATTGAGCCATGACCGTATAGGTGGCACGGTCAAACAAGTGACTGATGAATAGACAGCGGGGGCGAGAGCGGCGGCCCAGGTGAAGACGATCACTTAAATAATAGTACAGCGATCGGTCACAGTTTAGAGGTAGGTGAGGCGGTGCGTGTTGTAGTCGTAAGAGGTTGAGGTTATTGTGAACATCGCGCGAGGGGCCGGAACACTCGTTTTGGCAACGGACAGTACCGTAGATCACGGACGCAGTCCGTTAAGAGGTGAAACCCCGTGGTAAAATTGTGGTCCCAATATAGTACCCCGAGGGACTCAAAACAGGACTCGTGACGCTCAGGATCACCATGCGGTTGCCGGGGCTTTGGTGGGCGGCTGCATTGCTGCTCGCCCTTACGATTTCAGGTAAATAAATATTGTTAAATATAAATAAATAATTATCGAATTTGTGCAATAAGCTAATATTTTATCTTTAATCCTTTTTTTTATCAAAACAAGTATTAATATTTTTTATTTACATATTAAGCTTTTACACATAATAAGCTTTTTGTTAACACCGTTTATGGTAGAGCTTTATGTAAGGTACACAAGGTTACACTTGAAAGATAAGTCATATAAATCGTAATGGTAAATTTGCAGCGGCACGGCATAATAGTGCATCGATTTTATAATACTTAGAGTCAATAGTGATAATAATGAATACACTTCCAGAGCAAGATATGAATAAACCATAATTAGCTTCCATGACTTTATAAATACTGCTCACTTTTGAATGAAGTGAAGTTCAAATGAAGAATAGAATTAATAATATAAGTTACTAGAGAATAGTGCTTCATAGTGGCAAATAGGAATGAAGAAAATATTATTTATTGTACATAATTACACCATTTAGTGGATAAAAGATAGATAAAAACTTTTAGTATTGTATAATAGACAACCTTATCGCTCAACGATTTCTTCTACGCTATTATTATAAAAAAGAAATAAACATCAATTATGAAACATAAATTTGTTAACTTAAATTGGATCTTAGTTTGATGGATGACACTCCATCGATGAAACCAGTACCGTTCGGACCTTCGATGGTGTAATGAGTTTGACATTTTAACGAACCATCATAACTTATGGCGCGGAAGTGGTGTTTGCGTAACCAAATTAAAAAGTGGTCGACCTAATGTTGGTCGCATTAGGGCACCGCAGCAGGCTAACCTCGTTGATTCGAAGATAAAAGCACTCTGTGACTATTCTATCTATTCTTTATAAACCTTGCGTTTCGAGCCTGAATTACAACTCAGAAATGATATCTTTGTGAACCAATCTACATAGTTAAGAAACTTATTAAATTATATAATTAATTCGTTGTGAAATTTATTTATTAACTAGCTGTTTTTCCGCGACTTTGCACGAATAATAGCATATTCAACCCCGTACGATGTAACCATCTGTAGGTGAGAAAACTCTTAAAATCGTTCCAGTAGTTTCGGAGTCTATTCGATACAAACGAACAAATCAAATCTCTCCATTTTATAATAATAGTATAGATAAATGATAAGTATATTGGCGCTTTATATTACAAACATATTTTTTTTTAATTGTAAATAATAAAAAAGTAATAAACTAAAAGCTACTGGGCCGATTTTTAAAATAGTCGCTATCCTACTGGTGAGAAATTACCATATACTTAAACTACTATAAAAATGTTAGCTAACACGTTTATTCTGTAACATAGTTCCACGTACCATATTATAGAATAAACATGTTTAGATGATTATGGAAATGTATAACGCGCTATTTTGTTGCTAAGCAAATAAGTATATGAAAATAGTAGTCCACAATTATAATAAACAAGTTTCCCATCAGCGGCTACGCCCACATGGTCCTATTTAAACATATCCTCTTAAAAAATTCGGCATTTTGAAGAAAACCGCATAAAATTTGTTGTGTAGTTTAAAAGAACTCAACCGTAATAATAAACTATAATGATACGATAAATAGAAATATTTAATTACGCTGGAAATAGGATTACGTACAAATACAAATAAGTGAATATTAAGCAACATTTCATACATAGCTCAGATCTGTAATTAAGTACATAAGTAAAGCCCTTCTGTTGTGAAAATATGTTATAAAAGGTACCCTGACCCGAGACACATGTGGGGAACCCACTATACGTACATACAACTTTTCATATTTATTTATGTATTTATTCACCGCTAACATAAACATAGACATTTCACATTCAAGTAAAGAGTTCATTATCATAGATTATTGAAACACTCTGGCAATTATAAAAATATTACTTTACAAAAAAGAATATACATATATTGATACAATTATTTTCTGAATTTGCTTCAATATTATAGTTCAGTCTCTTGAGTCTCGTGTCTCTCTCACTACGGGATGTTGGCAAAATTTCCGTGTATAACGGAACAAGACCATATTAAAAAAAAAACTGGAAAACAAGAAAATGTGTATAAACAAATTTTATTGAATTGTGTTTGAAAGACAGTGATTATATTTAGTTATTTTAAAATCGGTACTATTCAGACTAAATAATATGTGTAAATTATTGAGAGTTTCTATTTTCGTCATCGTTACTGCTATACATGTTTAGAAAAGAAAATTTTCTGGCACGTTGATATAACTTCATACTTAAAAGTATATTGATATACTATGAACATTAATAATGGTAGTATTTAATATTTTATTTATTTATTTAAACAAATAAAGGACTCCCAAGGACTGCAATAGTTTAAATATGGAAATATAGACGCTATAACACCCGTTCAAGTACTAGATAAATACATCAGATAAATACTGTGGCGGAAGTACAAGATATCATTTTAATGAATGATCATCAGTATGGTAATCGATATCATGTCAAAAACTGGATCAAAAATCTTCTTACGCATGACATTGAATCGATCGTTAAATCCAGTTATGATATAAAATATAGACCATTACAGTTTAACTGTTACTATTAATTTGATTTCAATGTCAAAAACAAATTAAATTGCGTTTTCGTTAACCGTCGACCATCGATGTTAGTTTAATCCTACATGTGTAATAAAACAAGATGTCGCAAGCAACGGAGGTTAGAACGTCACTACTCCTCATAATAACAGGTCCGGATTTACAACTTTTTCCTATTGGGGCAGAAACTTGATATTTGCGCCCTTATAGAATTTTTATATTCATCACCAGCTTATTAATTTCCCTACTAGGTTTTAGGCCTTCCCTATGGGTGGAATCGAATGAAATCCAGAAGTTCGATGGCGCAGTGGTTAGCGCGTCAGCTATTTTACATTTATTTAGCAATTTTAACAATGGCCCGTCATAGGATGGTTGACCAAAAAATTTCTCTAACTCCTCCGTTGCTTCGGAAGGCACGTTAAGCCCACAATTTTGGCGACCCACTGAGACTGGGGTCCGGGGCAAGTGCTCTCACTTGCCCCCTAGATCTGGCCCTGCATAATAATGACACTGATTCGGTAATAGATCGTACGGAATGTATAACTGAGGTCGAACGTTACCTCAAGCTTTTTTTGGAGGATGCTTGAGTAGACATTAATGTGTTTGTTGATTCATTTTAAATGTGAGTACACAGTTACCGCATTCTTTTGATCAAACAAATCAAGTGAACCATACATAAAATTGGTTTGATTTTATGGAGACGTTTGAGAAACTTTGTTATTCAAAGATTTCATGAATCTTTTGTAGAATCGAATAGAATCTGATAATCAGTTGTTATTCTTCTGTTAAACTAAATTTACCACAGGGTACCAGCATGGGTCCATTGTTCTTTATTGAGTCATAAGCAAGAGTTAACAGAATTATATAAATCGGTCTGATTCAAAGATAGGCAGCATTGTATTGTTAGGATAATAAGAACAGTGACTGTTATAGTCTAAAACAAAACAATTATCTAATGCGAATGGGTTTAATCAATAGATTGTGGTAATTTTTCTCAATGTCTTAAAATAACTAATTTTGTTACAACATTAATAGTTGTGTGAAATTGAGCAAGAAGTACCTACCAAAAAGTCAAGATTGTGTTTGTTTTGACAATATAACGCAATCCTATTATTTTTATAAACGGACTTTGCCAAAAGCTTCTTTTAGAGGTCACGGTTGTTTGAGATTGAGTGATTAAATCAAACGTAAAAATATTATATTTAATGTTGAAATCATATAACTACATTAATATGTCATTAAAAGTTTTAAGAATTATGCAGAGCAATGTGTAGAAAATATGTAGAAAACTAAATATAAACTGTAGTAATTTAAATTACGAATATCTTAATAGTCAAGTAATAAAAATGTAATGTTTGGTGATATTTCAAAACATTTCGAATGAATTATTTATAGTTTGAAGGAGCGTTGCATGATTAAGTGTATCGTTTAATATTGTGCTTTAAAATGTTACCAATATATTCATAAAGTGTTGAAATATTAAGAACAGACATGTGTAATCAAAGATCACTGGCAAAAGCTGAAAATCTGTGTGTTTTGCTCTTTCTCTTTGAGTGAAAATATCGCGGAGCTTTTGCTAATGTGCGTCGCTATAACACACACAAGTTTAATTTGTAGTTTAGTTTACCTTCTGTCCTTTAATATTGTAATAATTTATCTTACACGTTAGTGACACAATAATTAGGTATAGGTACTCAGACTCATTAATTACTTATCATACCTCATCAAAATCTAAACCTAGGAAAAAAAATACTTTTTTTTTGTTGTTGTTTTGGTAATTGATTTATATTTAGTATTCACGCTGTGTAACGTAGTACCTAATGTACTCGTTGTAATATACTTACAGGTCCTTTTTCTTTGAAATAGGTCTGGTGATCAGAAGGCTGGTTTGTACCTTGTCCAAAGAATGATTTGGCTATTGAAAGAGGAAACGCTCGCAGCCTTCTGGGCACCTTACCTGTTGGCAATGATATGGAGAATATATTTTATTTAGTATATTAAATATTATTTGACATGTTACTTTTAAGGTTATGTTCAGTTCCCGTGTACTTTAAACGAGGAAATCCTAGGCCTGATCTCTGTTAATTTTTACATAATTATAGCATCTCAATAGAGTCTTAACTAATTGAATGTTGCCATCGTACTATCTATCTGAAGGCCAATATTAATAATGCAATGTCTTCCTCACAAATCAATGGTGTGATGGGTGATATTTATTATTCTGTGATCTAGTGACAAGAACTGTGTCATGAGGGTTGAAGTTGAAGCGCTATTGGCTGTCCATGATTACGCAAACTTTAGGAGAATTGTCCTACTGTACGCTAGCTGTGGAAAGAAGTAACTTTATCTGGGCATAGTCATTATCATCACCGTGATGACGCATAGATGCAAATAAAAAGTTTTCTTTTATGTGACTCATGTTCTTACATTCG